TGTCTAAAGTTACTCAGGTCGTGCGTGGTCGAGACAATACGTGGACACCGGTCTGTCTGACCGCACAGCCCGTGCTCCAGACCCCACTGCTGTACGGGGTGGGCTGCTTATAGCAAGACATGCCAAGGTGGGGCAGGGGCGGGAGGAGGACTTGAGGACACTGATGAATGCTCTGGAGTCATTTGCCATGTTGGCCCATGCAAGAGGTGTTGCAATTCAGTGCTGATGGCTCTGTAATTACGGATAATTTTCCGGTCTTTTGCTTTCATAAAGGGCAATAGAAGAGTTTAGAGAGCTCCCGAAACTTGTTGCTGCCCATAACAACGTGACCTTCTGTCTTGGCCTAGGGCTGCGCCATTTTCCCAAAGCTGAAAAAATGTATCATAAACTGGCCTCTTCTCCGTGACACGGTCCGTTACCATCTTATTCCGAACCCTGGTCCTGCCCAGCTGGACTGAGGCTATGACCAGTCCCCTTCCCCTCCATCCTGTGCATCGTTCTTCCGTCATGTCCACCTTCGGCTTGAGCAGTGGGGGCCGTGGAAGACCGGCCCCGGGGGAGGCTCGGCTTCGATTTCTCACTCTGTGAGTTTGGGCCCATCGTCTAACCTCTCTGGGTGTCTGTTTCCTCATCAGTAAAATGGAAATAGTAGTAAGAAGAATGCCTATCTCGTAGGGTTGCTGGGATGATGAAATGAAATGATGCATGCCAATGACTGGCTCATACAGTTTTTGGGGGTTATTCTCTCAGCTCCTATGTAAACCCTGCAGTTAAGCGTTGGGAACCACTCTCAAACTGTTCCTAGTATCTTGCTTTGTTTCAGCAAACGGGCACGGAGTTTAAGGAGCCAGGCGGTCTCAGGGCCCTGTTTGTTCTTAATGCATTGTTATTTCCAATATCTCTTCATGGGGTGGAAAGATACAATGAGCAAATTCTGCCTTGGAGGAAGCCCCTCCATCTCCCGCTTCTCATATCGCCCCCCTGTGGCATGGGCCCCCCTCTCTTGTACCTGCTATCCTCTCGCTGACCCTGGGCTCCCCAAAGCTCCACCCTGGGACCCCCAGGCTCCTGGGCCCTTACCTCTTGATTAAGACAGAACCAGGAGCTTTGCAGAAAAGGGGAAATTTGCTTGGCTTGACCCAGGAGTGGATTTGTTTCCCTCCAATTAGTTGAAAAATCGAACTTGATCTATGAAGAAAGCAGATTTACAGCCTGAGCTGATACATGACTGCCCTAGCTTTCTTGTAATAAAAGATGAAATCACTCCAGTGGGAGGCTTAGGTGGACGTCGGGCTGGCTTTCTGATGACTGTTCCCTCTGATTTTCAGAGGCTGAGTGAAGCTGGCCAGGATGATCGAATAGCCCTTCATAGGAGATGAGAGATAGTCTGGGGACCTGAGGGGAAGAGGATTGGAGTGTGTGTTTTTCTTTGCTTTGCATCCCACCCCCTTTTCCAGAGACTTGATGGCGCTTCTCTAGATGCAGACATGGAACCGATCTGACCTCGGACAGAAGTCTGCGTGGACTGTGAGTCCTCAGGCCAGATGGCTGCCGGTGTGGCCTTAACCCCAGACGAAGGCTGTTTCTCTCCCCTTTCTCCATCTTTCTTTCGCTGTTGCTTTTCTTTTCTTCTGTCTCCCCCACTTTCTTTCTGCTGTCTTCTGCTGTCTCTCTCTCGCCGCCTATTTACGTATCCTCCTCTTTCCCTTCCTCTCTCTTTTTCTTCCTCTCTTTCTCTTCCCTCCTCCTCCTCACCGCCACCGCATCTCATTTTCTGCCTTATTTGCTTCCCTCCTTCCCGTGGCTTGATTTCTGACACTCCTCTTTACGTCCTTTTCTCCGGGTGATTCTGGTTTCTAATACGGAGTAAGAGCGTTTGATAACGTTGGCCTGACCCTGCCTGACATCGGGTAAGTGATTCTCCTCAAGCAGCTTTTGATGTGGTCTGTGTGTGACTCATGAAAGCTGCCCAATTTGCTCTTCAAAGCTGTTTATAGTGAGCTTGGATGTGTCTCCTCGGCATGTCACTCTCTCTCTCCAGAAACAAGCCCAAATTAGAAGACGAAACCGTGGCGCTCCCCATTTGTTCATCATTCTCACAGATCCCTTCACGCACACAAGGGAGGGCCCACAGATATACAAACCCACTATCAAAAAAGTGTTGTTATTCCTAGTGTCCTCATATTAGAGGTTTTTATCCACAAAGACAGTTCCTTGGGCAAACTTTAATTTGAATACAACCACTTTCAGGGCACCTGGGTGTCTCAGTTGGTTGAGCGTTCGACTCTTGATTTTTGGTTCAGGTCATGATTCCCAGGGTCGTGGGATTGAGCCCCGCTTGGCGCCCGAGAGTCTCTCTCCCTCTCCCTCTGCCCCTCCTCCCCCAAATAATAAAATAAAAATAAAAATAACGAAACGAATGCAACCATTTTCAGCCCCAAAGAGGACACTTTGACTTGGGCACCGGGTGATAAAAATAAGAAGAAAAATGCTATAAAAATGCTTTTTAAGTACCAGAATCTAAACCCATTAGGCTCCTAAGGATATGGTCAGAAAAAGCAAGAACGGCCTGCAGCTTCTGGTTCCAAAAAGAACAGTGGGTCAAGTTCTTTCTCGTACTGATCATCCTGGATCCCAAAAGCATTGGGGAAGATGGGACCTATTTTTCCCCTGGCTCAGGTTCCCTGTAGTGCTGTTTCTAGTTTTCAGCCTAAGAAGATGGGTCATGTTCCTGCACCAGCAACCTTCCACATTCAGCGGCTTGAAGGAAGAGGGATGGACAAAATACCCTGGAGAAGATCTTTCTTACTCTCAGTAGATTCCCCAGTTCTGCGAATCGGATACGTTAGGTATGATAAATACAGCACGCTGGGAAGATTGCTGAGTTTCGAGTACCTGAGTTTAAACGCAGATTTGGACAATCATGAGTTAAATGATCTTCAGTAAACTTAAATTTTTTTTCAGTTTTTTTTTTTTAAAACAGCTTTACTGAAGAGTAATTTGCATACCATAAAAGCCAGCCCTTGTAAGTGTACAGTTCAATGATTTTTAGTAAATTTATTAGAGTTGTGCCGCCATCACGACAATGCAACTGTATAACATTTTAAACAAATCTTTAAGCTCTGCCCATTTTCTTTCTTCATCTCCAAATTGGACTTAGGTGGTGGATTGACTGCAAAAATGAGCACAATCCTTCAGTGCGTTGCAACGTGACTTTGTTGGTTCTCCCATCAAGAGTGGAATTGATTTATTCAAGCCCTTGAAGCTGGGGCTGGCCTTGTGACTCATTTTAACCAACAAATGTGGTCAACGTGACCGCGTGGCAGTTCTGAGCCTAGACCTCTAAGGCGCTCGTAAGCTTCAGCTTACTCTCTTGGAAACCTGCCACCTCCATCATGAGTATTAAGGTTAGGCTACCTGCTGGAAAGTGAAAATTCATGTGGGGAGAGGCCCCAATTATTCTCGCCACCCCAGCTTAGGTCATCTTAGATCAGCTCCCCCCCCAGCTGCCCTCCAGCTGACCACAGGTGCTCTCCTGAGATATCTGGGCGGAGCCCAGCCTAGATCAGCAGAATTGGCTAACCAACATGGAGACCCCCCAAAAATAAGAGGTTACTATTTTAAACGACTAAACTTGAGGGTGGTTTGCATGACATCATTACTGTGGCAATAAATAACTGATACAGGGTAGTCACGAGAATCAATTTTTTAAAAGCTGTGAAAACCTCTAACACCCTGCCTATCACATAGTGAGCTCTCACTAAATTAAAAAAAAAATTCAATTTAACAAGCATTTATAGAGGCCTTCATATATGAAAAGCACTATGCTTGAGGTTGTAAGCGATGCAGAACTGAAAAAAGACCTGATGTAATCCCTTAACAGTCAGTTCCAGTGGGAAAAATAATAGATGCTTACACAAACAATTATAATATAAGACAAGCTGTCACTCTATTACAACATTTATGTCCAAGTGATTTCTCCATTGTCTACAATTAACCATGCTCTTCTTTTCTTGGTATTTTACTTTGTCTAAAAATGTGTTCAAGGGATACGGTTTATTGAAAAACCCCCAAACCAGCACACTGACCAAAATTAAGTCTTATTAATATGTTCAAATACAGTGTTTGCATTTATAGGAAACAATCTATATGGAAGCGTGGTCATATGACATGCCTCATATAGCCAAAGAAACAAAAAGGCAGACATGAAATCAGAGCCAGGGTAGGGAGGGGAGAAAGGGTGGTTGGGAAAGTCTTAATTTCTAGAATGATCAGTAGCTTTAAATCTAAGGATGCTTAAGGAGTGCAGCACCGCCGTGGCAGCTTGTTTTTCTGCTCACCTCCAAAATATTCTAGAGGTTTGGGAGGCTGGGATTAGAGTATGGAGTGGGGGGAGGAAGAGGTGTGGTTTGGCAGACAGGACCTTTGGTACCCAGGAGTTTGGTTAAGCTCCAGCAGATTCTCTGAATTCATACTGTCTAAGGAGAAGCCCATCTGGGTAGCCTCACAGCACAGTGAGAAGAGCCTCGACTTGGGAGCCAGGGGTCCTACTTTCCCTGATCTTAGTTCTAGCTTTGGCACTAAAGAACACTTGCTGTGTGACCATGGGTTCTTTCCCTTCCTGGGGGTTGCCCTAGGTGATTTCTAAGGTCCCTTCTAGTTCAAAGCCTACAGGATATCAGAGCAAACTGAGGCAGATGCATTGCCCTTCTGACAACACAAGTGGATCCTTGGAAAATGGAGCTGCTCAGGAAACCCAAACAGAGGTCAACAGGTGAACCCTGCAGATCTGGGAACCGGCCCCACTTCCCCCCCTGAATGTGTAGGGCTCTGACCATCCTCAAGCACTCCAGCGGTCCTAGATGCTCCTCAGCCTGTGACCTGACTGCTGGGCCAGCTTCCAAACCCCCGACCTGGCCTGTTGAAGTCCTCCTCCCTTTCCTCCTAGAACAAGGGTGTCAAAGTGGCATCTTAAAATCTTGAGCTCTAATAAAGGCTGTTTAAATAAGAGTAAATATTCCTGGCAGTCAGGTGGGACTGAGAAAGTGACCTTTTTCCAAACAATGGAAGTTGAAACAATTCAAAGAATAAAGAGCTTTGCCACAAGAAACTGCCTGAAACTGGGGTCAAATCAACACTCTCCGTGCCCGTTAGGGTCTCTTTCAGCATGAGGACTGTAAGCCATCTCAGGGATAACTGGATGATTTCTGGGACATCTTTGGGGGGGACACACTCCTTGTCGCCCCCTGAAGCATGCCTGGGGCATGATCAGGGACAAAGAGCAGAACCCCCTGCCGAGATCTGAATCACCAGGAGTGACCTCCCTCTCTTGCTGTGAAGAATGAATTCCTGACTGCAAGTTTGCAAATCATACCCACTGTAGGTAACACTGATGTCCCATCAGTTGACTTCCCACCACCAGGGGCCCTCTCAGGGGCAGGGGGCTTCTGTCTTCCTAGAGCAGAGCGAGTGGGCATGAGTGCCCAACAACCGCTACGAGGCTGGGCCAGTAGAGGCAAGACCTAGGCATCCCATGTGACATGTGATTACATTCGCTTCCTTTCTCACCTCAGAAAAGAAAACAGAGTACAGACCGCATCACTCAAGTCATTGCCCTTCTCTTATTGTCCCACAGAGTCATTGTCTAGTTTGTGCATTCCCCCCTCCTTTTCCAAGCACTGTTCACTCTCACCTCCAGGATCACTGGATCACTGACGTCTTGCCCCTCACTCACCACAAATCACCCAAACTCAGTGGCGTAAGACAACTGTTTCATTCTGCTCCTGGACTCTGCGGGCCAGGGGTTCAAACAGGAGATGGAAAGGGCTGCTTATCTCTGCTTCACAATGTCTGGAGCCTCGGCTGGGAAGAATCAAGGGCAGGGGGCAATTCAAGGCATGGCACTGGGGTCATCAGGAGGCTCGCCCATTCACACCTCTGGCAAGCTGTGGGCTGGGACCTCAGTGGGTTGTCAGCCAGAACACCCACACGTGGCCACTCCACACGCTTGAGCTGCCTCACAGCATGGCGGCCTCAGTCTTTTGCATGGCTCGGAGTTCAGGGCTCTCAGTGCAAGTGTCCCAGGGAAAAAAGAAACTGCAAGGCCTTTTGCCATGTGGCTTTAGAAGTCATGGAACATCTCTTCTGCCACACTCAGTTGATTGCAAGCGAGTCAGAAACCTGCCCAGGTTCAAGGGGAAGGGACATCCCAGGGAAGACTGTGTGTGTTTCTGAGACATGTTTAAAACCCTCCAGAGTAGCCTATGCAGCCAAGTCCAAACTAGGCTTCATGTGAGTCTCCATCAGCTTCCCTGTAAGGAGCTCCTTTATCTTCAATTCTTGGACCCTGAGGTACTTTGGAGGTGATCATGGGGAAGTTACTTAAGTGCTTCTTGGTTCCTTGGCCATGGTTGAATTTGAAAGCGGCAGAACTCGCGTGGGAAGCCCTCTTTCCCTTTGCTCTTTCTCCAACCCGTGACCCTCCCCCATTGTCTGACCACTGCACCCAGCCTCTGCTTTGACAGCTGTCTTGCGGGTCCCCGGGAGTGCTCTGCCACCCTCTTGTATGTCCTTGCAGAATGACTTGCATGCTGATGATGTGTGCCTGGCTCAGCACAGACATCTCCCTTCAATACCTCCGTACCAAGCCCTTGCCTTACCACGCTTTCTGCCTGAAGTTGTTCCCCGCCCCCCCCCCCCTCATGGGGAGAAAGACTCGTGAGCACGTTCCAGAAGGCATCGGTTGGCCTGCCCTGCCTAGCACAAGGCGCTTGCTCAGTCAATGATTGGTGAATAAGTTAACCCTGGCTTGCATGTGCTCTAGATGACCCCCCGGGGTCTGATTCCAGCCCGAGTCACCAGAGGATTCGTGGGGACTAGAGCAAAGGAGAGCCTTGCATGTTGCCAGAAGAGAGGTAGTTCGATATATGTGGGGTGCCGCTGTGCCCGTGTGTTTCGGAGGGACCGGGAGTGGGTGGTGATGGACCTGTGGCACGGTATTGCAGGCTGGAGCCAGGACTTGACACGCCGGCATTACCTGGCTTCTGCACATCCGCCCTTCATGATCCCCGGTACTTGGAAACTTTCCTGGACACACTGAGAAGACTCTCCAAGAGCCAGGCTACCTGTCAAGTTTCCAGGGCCCCCGACCCCTGCTGCCTCTTCTTTTCCTCCCCAGAGTGTGCGGATAAAGCACCAGAATCTCTCTGGGGAAGCGTGACCTCACTTGAAAAAGGACCTGTTTGAGAGAGGTGTATGTGTTGGTGGGGCCGGGAGGTGCCTAGACTTGTAGGGACCTGTATAGATGAGAGAAATGACAAAAAATAATCTTCTACTCAGTCAATCCAGCTAAAGATGCTGCAGTCCCAGGGAAACGTTTAGGAAGGATCTGCTTTTGTGTTTCTCATTTGTGAAAAGCAACAACAACAAACAAACAAAGGAAAAGACTCCCAGGCTTCCTGCGGTGAGGGAGCTATGGGTCCTCCCGGGAGAAAGGGCTGCAGACTGACTGAAGGAGTCCTCATTGTGGGGGGAAGCGAGCTTGCTTCTTTTTCTTTCTTTTCCATTCCCTGTGCAGACTCACAGCCCTGTGCACTTAATTCTCCATGCCTGTGCATCAGCATTGCAGTAGACTTTTCCATATGCTCCTTCCACTCTGAACAACAGCATGGATTGTTATTTCCAACCTACTGAGGAAAGAACCGAGGCTCAGAGAAGTGAACTGAGTTGCCCAGAATGTATTGCCGATAAGTGGATGAACCCGATTGTTTATTTATTTAATGAACATACTAAGTTATGCATTGAGCTACGGAGAGAACAAAGATGAATAAAATGTGTTGGTTCTGGCCAAGAAGAAATTCAGCGTAGGAGCGGAAGATAGCGCAATTCTACAACAATATGGTAAGTGCAATGACAGCCGTACATGGGGCATGAGGCTAAGTACCAAGAGGGGCATCTAATGCAGCTGGGGATGTGCAGGGTGGACTTCCTGGAGGAGGTGGTGTTTGAACTGCGGACGATAAGCGGGAGGTAGTTCCGTGAAGAGAGGCCGGGGGGTGGGGCAGAGCATTCCAGAAAGCAGAGGCAGCACAATCGAGGCGTGGAACTGCAAAACAGCAAGGCAGGTGGAACTATTAACGAGTTCCATGTTGCACTAAGGTTGGTCCAACTGGGGTTTATCTAACTTCGAAATGCAAGCCCTCTTCCGCTGTGCTGGACCTCTTTAACTGGTTCATTTTGGAGGTCGTGGCTCGTATGGTACTTCCTGGGGGCTTTGGGTACCCAGTTTTTACTTTTAAAAGTCCCTTGTGTAATTAACAGAGTGTGGGAGGCGTTTCCTGGCACTTCTCCACCGTGACTTCTCAGCAGGGCTTCGGGGGGAACCAGGAGGTGGCCGTGCCAAAGGCTTTTGACTGAGGGAAAGTCAACCCACCGCCCAGGGTGCCATGACTGCCCCACGGCATCTCGGAAGAAGTAGGCCAAAGATCATCAGGAAACAGTGGCTTCTGGGTTCACTGCCGCAAAGCAAGCTATGGTGAGTCAGAAGGAAGCAAAACTTACCTGCACCAACAAACAGGTCTGGCGGTCAGCAGATAAAGATATTACCTCAGAGAAAGACCAGAGCTGAAAATGGGCAAGGCCTAACTGTGCCAAAGATCCGCTGTGTCTTTTCTTTTTTCTTTTTCTTTTTCTTTCTTTCTTTTTTTTTTTTGGTAACCATGGTAGGGGCGGTGTGGGTGGTGTGGGGGAGGCGTCTGATACGTGCATTTACATTTCCAGCCCCTAAATAAACACAACCTGTTCTTACGGCTGCCCCCAAACTGTTCTCACCCTGTGGCTTTTTGATACACTTCCTCATGGGCTCACTGGGGAGGATGTGAGGATACAGACTCTTGGGGTTCCATCAGGAAATCCCTTATCCCGCAACCCAGGCCTCATGCAAACAGGTGGAGCTTCTGTCCTGCTGTGCGAAGTTCCTAGGAAGGACAGTTGTGGCCTGTCAAGTTAAGGTGATCTTCGTAAGAAGCCCTTTCTGGTAGGGGACCCGGAGTCAGAGCACGGGGCGCCGGGAGCAACCTTTGTCATTTTATGCGTCAGGAAACTGAGTGGAAGCTGAGTCTTACTTTGCCAAAAGTCAGTCTGACATTAGACATAGAAGCTGGGTAAAGTCCAGTCTCTTGACTCAAAGCCTACTGCTCTCTGCACAATGGCTTGCCCCTCACCCCCATGTCGCTCTACTGCCTGCTGTCACAAAGTCTAAAGTACTGTTTAGTTATCTTTAAAAAATTTTTTATTATTATTTTTTAAAATTTTTTCATCATTAAATCATTTTCTTATAACGTAATTCATTGTCAAATTGGTTTCCATACATCACCCAGTGCTCATCCCAACAGGGGCCCTCCTCAATGCCCATCACCCACTTTCCCCTCCCTCCCACCCCCCAGCAGCCTTCAGTTTGTTCTCTGTAATTCAAGAGTCTATTATGGTTTTCCTCCTTCCCTCTCTATAACTCCCCCCAACCCCTCTTTCCTTCCCCCGTGGTTCTCTGTTAAGTTTCTCAGGATCCACATTTGAGTGAAAACATATGGCATCTGTCTTTCTCTGCCTGACTTATTTCACTCAGCATAATACCTTCCAGTTCCATCCACATTGCTGCAAATGTTGCCAGATTTCATTCTTTCTCATTGCCACGTAGTGTTCCATTGTGTGTATAAACCACATCTTCTTTATCCATTCGTCAGTTGATGGACATTTAGGCTCTTTCCATAATTTGGCTATTGTTGAAAGAGCTGCTATAAACATTGGGGTACAAGTGCCCCTATGCATCAGCACTCCTGTATCCCTTGGGTAAATTCCTAGCAGTGCTGTTGCTGGGTCATAGGGTAGCTCTATTTTTAATTTTTTGAGGCACCTCCACACTGTTTTCCAGAGTGGCTGTTCCAATTTGCATTCCCACCAACAGTGCAAGAGGGTTCCCGTTTCTCCACATCCTCTCCAGCATCTAGAGTCTCCTGATTTGTTCATTTTAGCCACTCTGACCGGCATGATAGTTATCTTTTTTAAAAAAAAAATAGTTATTTTTGAGAGAGAGACAGAGTGTGAGTGGGGGAGGGGCAGAGAGAGAGGGAGACACAGAATCCATAGCAGGCTCCAGGCTCCTAGCTGTCAGCACAGAGCCTGTCGCGGGGCTTGAACTCATGAACCATGAGATCATGACCTGACCTGAGGTCAGATGCTTAACTGACTGAGCCACTGGGGCTCCCCTTAGTTATCTTTTAAATGAGCATTGCTGTTTATTTACCTTTTGTTTACTGAAGGAAGCCACTTGAAAGGCCATCTTTTATTGCTATTTGTAGGTTCAGTGCCCATCACACGCCAAAAGTGTCCCTGTAGTATTTCTACCCTGGAATGCACAGAGACCCCCCTGAGAGCTGAGATTTGGTGGATCATTTCGATTTAAATGGGACCTCACATTTAACAGGTCTTCTTGTCCATTATCTTGCCTGGCCCTGTTCAAATACAGCTATATTTTCTGGGTTACTTCGGCATTCATAATTCTTGACAGGAAAATCCTCCCATCGAATCACTGCTTTATTTCTTTGTTTCAGGAGATTATCTAGCGTGTCTAATAGAGCAACAAGTCACGTCCCGTGGCTCCAGGTCTGCTATTCCATAGCATACCGAAATCAACCACAAGACCATGCCTCCCACTTCACCCAAGTCAAGGGGAGAGGTGGGGCCCCTCTCTGCTCTCTGTGGAGGTGGAATCTATGACCAAATGTATGTGTACTTTCTTGATTTCTCCAGGGCTCTCCAGAGAGGTAGCATTCCTGGATGATGGGGGTTCAGAGAAAATTGAGATTAACTTTCCATGAAGCAACACAAGCTCAAATCTAAGAAAGAATTGTCCAGCTGGGAGTCGCTGGAATATTGATGGAATATCACTTCTTGCTATTTAATTCATTCATCTGGGATAGAAAAGACATCTCTTGGGGATGATTAAGGTCAGTGGTGTCCAAGTATTTTTAGTATGGAGGCACATTTTCATCTAAAAACATTTATAGACCTGCAGATAAAGGTACTCACATTTGAGAAATGCATTGATAGAACAAACGCTTAATGGCAGGGGCCATCACCTTTAAAGTAATTTGAATGCTGGTAATCACAACCTTTTTAATATACTATCCCAAAGTTGAGTTACTGCTTTCCTTCTGCAACTCTCTGTGCCTGTCTTCACCACTGGACCAGAAATACCTACCACAGGGGCAGAGTTGGTTTGACTTGTCCACCATCTGTTGTATATTTCAGCACCCAGCACAGTTCCCAGCACAAAGCAGGCACCTTCTGTATATTTGTAGACTGAATGAATAAATACAATAGAAGCGTCAGAGTATATGTACATGAGTCATACTATTTAGCCAGTCCGTAGGTACTGATTCATGCAAATATGGCGCCCCCAACTATGGGAGCCCACAGACCGGAAACTGTGGATTCAGATTTACATCTTTGCATCCAGTATTTTGTTCCCTTTTCCCCACAGGGAGTTTATGTTCAGTAGACCACAACCACCTGGACAAATGATAACTACAGGTGGGAGCCTGTGCTAGTTGACCTCCCGAAGTCCCTTCCAAAATGGTAGGTCCATGAAGAGGACAGAGTGCACCGTTCAGAAAGGCTGGAACTTCCCAACACCCACGGAGAGAGGGACATTGATGACAGCTTCTTTCAAGAGCCAGTTTCTTAACATTTGTAGGAGCAAAAGGTAAGCTAATCTCTGTGAGCCTCCAGGTAGTCTGGTTGTTATTTCAACCCCAAACAGGCTTGCAAACGTTCTTTGCCCATTTCCTCTGTCAACCGATTTGTGTGGAGTGTTGATAACTGAAGTGACACCCAGTAAACACTCTTTGTCTTATAAGATGTTGACTGGAGTGGAGACATGTAGGGAAATGTAGGAGTTGAAAGAAAGAGTGCTGGGTTAAAAAAAAAATGTGTGTGCATACATCTTCATAGAGTGTGTGCATTACTATTTAAATGCTGACATCTCTCTTCCTTCTTTAGAAAACAGCCTTTTGTCTCGATTCTCCCTGCACCTTTCCATCCTCTCCAAACAAAGAGAGAGTGATGTTCCAGGTGTGAACACATCAGGGAGGTTTCCTGCTTGGGATTCAGAAATTCACAGCCCTGAGGAAATGAGTAAAAGAGAGGACAGAACAAGAGAGATGAAAAACAGAATCTTCACCACCTGCTATTTAGTGATTAGCTCCCAGATAAGGAAGGCGAAGACACATTCCAGAAGCTCAGGACTTGCCCAGGCGGAAACTCAGAGTAAAGAGGGGCTCGGAGGGAAATGAAGCCAGAAGTGGGAGGGGACAGCTGAGCCACTGAAACACTGTCTATCAATTCTGTCTCAAAGCCTCCCCTTTTCACGCAGCCCTTATAAACTTCAGTCCCTCCCTTCACCCTCTCTCTCATTCACCCCACCTTACCTGCTTTGGTTTATGGGAAGGAATCTTGTCCAGATGGACTCTTTCGCTAAATAACTGTGTGACCCGGGGCAAATCACTTCTTAGATTTTGGTCCAGTGGCTGCTATCTCTTGACTTGCGGTAGCTTAATTGAAAGCAGAAGAAGAGAGGTCACAATAACACCCAGCCCACTAAACAGAAGATCCCCCACGATGCCACAAAGCTGGCAGGGGGAGCCCTGGTGAGTGTGCAGGTAGGCCGCCTACGTTCTAGTTCTTACCTGTGTGCACACCAGGCTGCTGGACGAACCCCACGAGGAGAGGCAAGTGCTTATTCATGCCCCTCCTGAGGACGAGGCTTCCCAGATGAGGTGTTTTCCGTCTCAGTAGAGACGGGTGAAAACAATTTCTGCACAGCCTACCTTTCTGCAGTGGGCACCTGTGGCCACCGACCTGACCCCAGGTTTGGAGCCCTGGGGACAGGGTGCTGTGTACCTGTCTGGGGTGCATAGCCTCTTCCCTCATTAGCCTTTTCTGCTCCCTTTGTTCTGCTCCCTTGTTGTTATAACAGCGTCTTGTCCTTGACAACAGCCATGTGTTCAATTTTTCCAACACGGTGAGGTCAGCACATCGGCTTTTAGCCTCTAGAGCAGGTAAGAGCCACTGAGCCTTGACAGATACAAGAGCAAGTTACTAATTCACCCGGATTTTCATTTTGCACAGCTCCCATAAAAAATAAATGTGGAGCCATGGACAATTATGCTATAGTAGAAAATACATACGCTGGCGATTAAACACTGGAAATCACTAGCTTCAAAATTCCTCCAAAAATACAGTCCCAGATGTCACGCAAGCTCCAATCAAACACGGGCTATAAAAATCAAACCGTAGACATCGCCTTATGAAGTGTTCGCAGATGTAACAGGAGTAGAAATTCTCACAGCTCAGAAAAGCAAGATTTATGCTTTTTTCCTGGTTTTTTTTTTTTTTTTTGAGGAGGGGGATGGGGAATTTTGCATCCGACTGTTCATTTCAATATGTAATTTGCCTCAAAGAGTTTCTGACTTAATTTATTTTCTCACCAACCTAAACCAATTCAAAAAAAAAAACGTTTACTGAAACCCGAACAATGTACTTTTGGTTGACGAGTGCTAATAGGTGCAATGTTACCCCCGTCAACTTATAAGATCACCTACTGAGCTTGGAGCTAAACAGGAAAAAGTAAATTGAACTGGAGTTTGAATCTTTTTCCTTCTAAAGTCTCTGCCATAGTTGGACACGCACAGTGCTTAGAGAGAGATGAATTGCATTGTGGGAATTTCTTTATTAAAAAACAGATTTATTCGGGGCGCCTGGGTGGCACAGTCGGTTAAGCGTCCGACTTCAGCCAGGTCACGATCTCGCAGTCCGTGAGTTCGAGCCCCACGTCAGGCTCTGGGCTGATGGCTCGGAGCCTGGAGCCTGTTTCCGATTCTGTGTCTCCCTCTCTCTCTGCCCCTCCCCCGTTCATGCTCTGTCTCTCTCTGTCCCAAAAATAAATAAACGTTGAAAAAAAAAATTAAAAAAAAACAAAACAGATTTTTCTTTTTTTTTCAAGTCGGAAGATGTTCACATATTTAAAATTTTTTTTAATGTTTATTTTTGAGAGAGAGACACACATAGAGCACGAGTGGGAGAGAGGCAGAAAGGGAGGGAGACACAGCATCAGAAGCAGGCTCCAGGCTCTGAGCTGTCAGCACAGAGTCTGATGGGGGGCTCGAACCCACAGACCGCGAGATCATGACCTGAGCAAAGTCGGATACTTCACCAGCTGAGCCACCCAGGTGCCCCTGGAAGCTGTTCACATCTTAATGTTGGAGGCACCTCTAATGCAAAGGGGATATATGTGTATGAAAAAACCAAAATAAGCGCTAAATAAGTCTTTCCAGTGAAAACTGACAAGTATAATCATTTCTGGACTCTTTTATCTTTCCCAGGAAGAGACCAGCCTCTCTTCCATCTTGGATTCCACGGATAGGTAGATTCCCTTGAGCAACTTGTCAACATCGTGAGAGATTTTGTGGGAGCGTCTAATAGGAGGAGATGGGAGGGTGTGAGCGAGCGTACGTGGGCATGCACACTCCCAGCGTGGGCGCGTGCAGTGCCAATGATGGCGTATCACCGCTGCGTGAAAATTCCACGCCAGCTCTTTGAATAAGTCGGACAATTTGCTCCAAACACGTGGCCCAACGTCGTCTTCTTTCTCCTCTTGACTTGTAGTTAACTAAGAGAATGTGGCCCTTAGCGTATCCCAGACTTCACCAGCCGGTATCAAAGATCATCTTCTTCCTCCCTCCGCGTGCAGCCTACTTCTGGTTTTCTGTAAAGGACAGCCAGAGTTCAACTGATCTCTTTTCATTTAGTTGCTCCCTTACACGGTAGAGAACAACCAAGCACCAGCTCCGTACACGAGGCAGCCTTGCAGGCGCTGAAGGTGCCTAAGAGAACAGGACAGAGAAGGACAGATCACAATAATGACCGCGGAGGTGGAAAGCCAGAAACGCGCAGGTGCGGGGCGCGATGGGCACAGGGAGGTCGGCAAAGTGTTGTCTGAGAAGGGGCTGTGTGAAGACGGGCAGGTGGTGCAAGGCGGGGATGCTGTGTGCGGACGAAGCGGGGAAGGTACAGCACTTCACTCGGGGGGGCAAGCTGAGCGTTGAACTTGTGTAAGTGAGCTGTCCCCTCACTACATTCTCACGGAGGGCATTTTCTCGACCCAGTTGTAAATACCAAATGGGCAAGTGGGAAGACACTCTCTGGTAGGGGTGGATATGAAGTTCTGTGATACTTTATCAAAGGAAACGGAAGTGTCGCTTTCCTTACACTGGAGGGCTTTGCAGGGGAGGTTGAAAAACTACAGCTCTGTAACCCCACCTTTGCCCGTCATAGACTGGGTACCTTTGGGGAAGTCCCTTCCCCACTCTGACTCCAGTTACTTCCAGAAATGATGTTGTATTGGGTGATATTAAATTCCCTTCCAGGGAAGACAGTCTCTGAGTCCTTTGAGAACACAAGCTAGACTTGCATTTCCCTGCTTGAGAATATCCTATGAATATGGACTCACGAGGATGTTCAAAGCCAAGCCCTCATTAAAAATAAGCATATGAACTGGAGTTACACCTGACTGACTCCTCCTGGAGTCCAAAGGAGCCGTGTTCAGGCACCTGGCATCTTTTAATCTTGATTTGATCTGTGTTATGGCATAGTTAGTAGGGAGCCCCCTTCAACAGGCAACCAATAGAGAGAGCTCTATGGAGAGGTCAGATCTCCCAAGGCACACTGAGATGTGGCATCCTGTCCCTATGCAACTGTGTGCAAAAGGGCAGGTCTGATGGCAGAGTGAGGCCAGATAGGGGTCCCAGGGCCTTAGCCTTTAATAATAGATGATCCCTTCTAGCACAGGTCTTTGGTTCAAGGCAGCCTTTTACCATGATCCCTTGACTTACTGGCTGAAAGTAGCCTTCTTTAAATCTTGCTGTAATGAGCAGAGAATGCCACGGCCATCTTTCCTCTCTTGGGGCTGCTGTATGGGGTTTTATAAGTTCGGGGTGGACAACATCTCAAGGCCCAGCAAAGGTAGAGGATGAAGTAATATTATTCACATGTGTTTTGAGCATTCTTACTATATGGAAGAAGGTATCTAGAGAGACACATAGGGTATTAGATGTAGTCTTTGACCTCAAAGAACCTCCTCCATGTAGACCCATAGGTAGATACCTAACACTCACACGGGTCAGAGAGAAGGGAGGGATGGATATAATGATGGGGGGGTGGTGGTGGCCAAGCTGATACTTTGACTCAGTCCTTACCACACTTGGAATAATTACGACTTTAAAGGTCAGAGAAAGGGGCAAGGAAGGGTATTCCCATCCAGGGGAACAGAATGAGTAAAAGCTAGGCACGGCATAGAACTCCCAGGAGGACCATCAATTTATCTGGACTTTGAGGGGAGAGACCCCCAGAAGTTTAAATTTAAACTCCAAGAACTTGACACAAAGGAAGTCAGAGCTCTGCCCTGTTTGCAGAGCATGCAGCTACTTTTGGTCCTGGTGTTTCCAGTCCCCGTTCCAGGAGTACAGCACCCTCCTGTCCTCCTCTCCATCCTGCCTCCCTTCCCCCACCACACACACAACAAACCTACCAGGAGGACAGGGCTGTGGTTTTCAGTAGCTAAACTTGCATCATCTATAGTCAGGGAAATATTTTAAAATTCCATCCGTTTTGACATCCTGATGATTTGCCGTAGAGTTGGAAATCAAC